ATTAAAACTAAAAAGTAGTAAAAACTTAAAAATAGCAGTTCAATCACATTTACTAGTGTCTTTCATATCATATATTTGCTAAATTTATAAAATACACATTCCTATAATCAATAATCAATAATCAATAACTTAATATTACCTAATAAGTCATTATTTTACAATTAATTATATTTATTTTTAATTCGTAAAATATGTTGTATATATTTTATGGCAATACAATGGTTAATGATTCATTTATTTAAAAAAAATAATGAATTGTTTCTGAAAAAATGATTATTCAATTATTATTTGACCATTGTAAAATTTATTATAATTTATAACTGATAAAAAACTTGGACTAATCTTTATTATACTACATATTTTAATTGGCTTAAAATATTACCGTCTACAGTATTTGTAATCATGTTTTTAAATAAATTTCATTATTTACAATATTTCAGACAGTACACATGGACCCATGCTTAGATGATTGTGTTATGTTTGCCAAACGGTTAAAAGAACTTGGAAAAAAAGTGAATATGGATATCTTAAAAGGATTACCTCATGGTTTCTTAAATTTGGCTATTGTAATTTGATATTTATAACTTATATAATTTTTTACATACTTATTGTGCTTGTATTTTTAATAGACATGTAAAGAAGCGCATGAAGGATCGGTATTGTGTGCTCAACGGATTGCAGATTTATTTAAAGAAATTGAAATATGTGAAAGTTAATATTCGTTTTGAATCTCATTTCATAACAAATAATTTGATAAATTGTATATATTGTATTCTACATTCTGTACTTAATATTACTATCTTGATTTAAAATAATTAAAATCATGAAGTTAAAATTCAAAATTCTAGTATTTGGTATGATTTTAAGTATTAAGAGGATGTGATACCCACATGTGTTATCTCCGTCTTACAAGTGTGTAACATAACAAATTTTATGCTCATCAGATCACGTTTAGTTCCATTAGTTTAAAATTTAGAATTAATCGACCTCTTATAAAAATTAAAGGTTACATTATTACACAAGGTTTTTTATTACGAGTGTTTTAAAATTGTAAATTGTTTGTATATCTCAAAATACTCATAACTCACTTAAAAATTAAAATATAATACAAAGCCTTTGAGAATCCATAGATAATAATGTTTCCTTTAATTTTTATAAGAAGTCAATTCACTCTAAATATTAAACTAACGGAGCTAATTGTGATCTGGTGAGAGTGAAATTTGTGATGTTATGCACTTGAAAGACGGAGAAAACACATACAGGTATCACATCCTCTTAACAGATTTATACCACTATTTGTTAACATTTAAGAGTGGAGAAAGCATATGTTGTCTCAATCTTATAAACGTATTTTGTGTTCAGCAGTTCCAGTTAAGTGTAATAACTTTTAATGATAAATTAATTGAATATATAATTAACTTATAAATAACAACTCAATCTCTGTTTTTACAAGAATTTTGACAATATTTTCATTTTTGAGCAAGTTATGATAATTTTTTAATTGTAGCATATGTAAGACAGAAATGTTACACACGTATATGGAATCCTCATAAGATACCTTGGGAAACTAGTTTTAAGACTATTTCAAAAATACTTAAACAACCCGAAACTGTTTTTATGTGTGTTTATTTTATACTGTATGTATATTTACAGTATGTGTTCTATTATAATGTATTAATACAATAAACAATTAAGAAAGCTAATCAGTATTTAATCTTTTTTAAAGTTATTTGAATGATGTTCATTTTTCCCATTTATAGTTTTTGGTTGTAGACGTTTTTCCAGCACGTAAGCATCTGCTGGTTCTATCCTCTTATAATAATGCTCTTTAGTTTCAACTATCTCAAACCCAAATTTTTTGTAAAACTTTATGGCACTGTCATTATTCAATTGAACATGTCTAAAAAAAAAAATTATTTAAAAATATAATCCTTCAATGTTTATGCTAAATATACTTACAAATAAACACTATCAAATGTACCATCATTTTCAACATAGTTTAAAACATGTTCAACCATCATACTTCCTATACCAAGTCTTCTATACTGTGATAAGCACCCCAAAGTCATTATATAAAGTCGACGACCAACTTCTTGGTCTATTCGACAACATACAGCTCCAACCACAATATCATTATAGTACGCTAAATATATATACATAAATATATGAATGCATTTAAAAAGTTATAGTGATCAAGTAAGCCACATACCTAACTTAGCTAATTCTCCAGCTTCTAGGACATCTTTATAAAACTTCTCATTATATGACACAGGGAAAACTACAGTATTTAATCGTTTGAGTTGTTTTATGTTATGATGAGTAATTTCACCCAATTCCAACTTGGCTCTAAAAAAATAGTCACATAGTTAAATTAGTACAAGAAATCTGTTAACTAATATATTGTAAAACATTATACGATCTAATGATCTTATAAGATTTTTAAAATTGATGAACATATGAATTAAAAACAGCAAAAATTCTTGATTGTATAATCTTTCAAAAACAAGCGAAACATAATCATAGTTACTAACAACAAATAAATTTCATAGGCTAAACTGAATCATGTGCTGAAAAGTCAAGATCCAAGTCAATAAGCAGACATTCGTCTTTGATAAACATACATAATGAAGGTATCA